AAAATTAATTAAAATAATTTATAAATAAGTACTTATAAATATAAAAAATATATAAGTAAAGGTGTTAAATATAGTAATTTGTGAAGAATCTTTAAATGAACTTCTTAAATAGATAATATAGAAAAGCTATATATATAACTAATTGTATGCTTTTTTGTAGTAGTTTACTAAATTACATTACCAAAAAAGTTATTAATAAAAGTTAAAAGACCAAAAAAAGATTACTTTAACATTAAAAAATATATATATATATATATAAAATATAATAATTTTTTATATAAAATATACTTATATATCAAATTTATAAACAGGTGTATAAATCTATATGAAGTATAACATTACACCTATATAGAGAAATATTAATTCAGTTTAGATCACAGATAAACTAGTCTGAGCTCTTATTCTTGTATATAATTTTTATTTTGTTACAAACAATCTTAGTTTATTTTAATACTTTTGTACTAAAATATACAATTAAAATTATTAATAAAGATATGAGCAAGGCTTTACCTTAACACCAAAAAAAAAAAAAAAAGAAATGTTAATAACCAGTGTTGCATAAAACTTTGATAAAACCTATGATATGACTACTAGGTATGGAAAGTGAAAGAACTAAAGAGTCAGAAATCTACTTAAAAATCCTGAGTAAGGAGGCAATACAAACCTTTTAACAATACTGTTGGACTGATAAAAGCTTATAAAATACTCCAAAAGAATAATCAGATAAACTAAATAGCAAAATATATAGAAAAGCATATAACCAACCAGACTGCTAGAATTGCTAAAGAAAAAAGATACTAAGATATATTATACTAAGTTATCTAAATTAGAAGTCTGAAGAGTTCTATTAGTTCTGAATAATAGTTAGTAAAAGATAATAAAGAAAATATCAAAAAAATAAGTATTAAAGTTTTGGGTAAAACTTATAAGAATATAGCAGTTTAATAATTAGTTCTAACTGCAAATAATAATCTAGGCCAAAATAATATTGGATTAGCTGTAAGTATGGAATACAAAAGGCTCTAGTAGGTTTTAGTACAAAGTTAAGTATAACTTAGTAGCTATTGTATATTTTCACTATTTATCAGAGTCATTAGTAGAGTGTAATGAATACAAAATCTGAGTGTTTAAATAAAGAATTTACAAGTGAGTCCTAAGTATAGCAACTAGTATAAAACTTCTGAGCAGACTACTTAAATTAAACAATAATTAAAGTTGTAAAAATAGCTATTTGTATACTCTTTTTATGATTATCTTTATGCTATTATGTCAACAGATGCTTGCTAATATATATTACTAATAAAATTCTAAGTCATATATACTTATCTAATATCTAAAAATAAAAAATAAATAAGGGTGTGATGACTTAATGAAGTGAATAAGTTGTCAATCTTCAAGTGGTAGATTGTAAGTTCAAACCCTACTAATAGTAAAATTTTAGATAATTATTTATATAATACTTATATATTATAACAATGATTTTCTGTTGATTAGTTAGAATAAGATATCTGCAACTATAGTTATATCATTATAACTGGCAGGCCATAGAACATCTATGTAACTTTGGTTATACAAAGAAATACAAACTAGTACCAAGCGGTGCAAATTTAAAATAAGTTCTTATAGTCATATAAATTTGTAGAACTGAAAAAAACCAAAACCCATTTAAGAAGACTCAAATAAAGAGATAATACAGATTTTTGATAATATTATTTTAAAAACTAGATCTAGGAAATAAATACCAATATAAAGAAATGAGACAGACAAGAACCTTAAGATGAAGAATACTATTAACCAGATTGCTAAAATTGAATCAAGAAAAAAATATTAGCCTAATTAATATACCATAAACAGGTTATAGTTTTACTAAGCTATCTGGATCAAAAATTTAAGATTAAAGCAAGAGTATACTATAAGTACTAGAAATATACTATGAAGTAGGTGCTAAGGTTCAGATGAACTCTACAAGAGCTAGCTTTGTTAATGTTTTATAGAATAGATAGATAGTTAACAAAAAAACATACTGAAGCTTTACAGTTAAGTAATATACTCTGAAATATGTAATGTTTTGACAGATATACAAAAGAGAAGACTAAATATTGAATTAAATAACACTTAGTTGTATAGAAACCAAGTATTACTCATCTAAGTGCAGTATAAGAATCAGAGTATTTAAATAGATATTCTTCTAATAGGTTACAGATATGATAGCTAGTATAGAACCCTCAAGCAGATTACTTAAATAGGTAATCAAAAATTATATGTATAACTAGTTGCACACTTACTTTGTACAATCATATATAATATATTAGCTAAAACACAAATAAAGTCAGTAACTACCAATAATATCAGGCTTAGCAAAATAAAAAAAATTTTATAAATCTAATAATTAATATATTTTTAAATAATATAAATATAAAATATATATTAAGAAATTTATTATATAAGCTGCCATTAATAGAAATCAAGCAGATCTATATTTGAAAAAAAATTAATATCTTAACTTTTATTGCTTATATCTTGATGAATTTTAAGGCTATCTTGATAATTTAATATTTAAAAGAAAACTTATAATCTATGTTTTCTTTTAAATATTAAATTACTAGGATAGCCTTAAAATTTGAGATATAAGCTATGAAAGTTAAGGTATTTATTTTTTTCAAATATAGATCTGCCTAATTTTTATTGATAGTAATCTATATATATATAAATATAAATAAAATTTTTAAATTTAAAAAAAATTTATAATTATTAACTTATTTATATATAAGTATTATTAATTTTATTATATAAAATTGCCAATTTTTTATATAGTATACTAATTTTTTTTTTCACTTAGATAGTTGTGCTGGTATACTTTTATTAAGAAAATATAAACACTAATACAAATATTACACACTTAATTTTGAAGACTCAACTTTCCTAGCTGCTTCTTTGAGTGCCTAAAAGTGACCTACCATATTAGGTAGTAATAAGACTACCTAAAAGGCTATTCCTGATTATTAGTCTACAATAAAGTATTACCAAACTGATAATACTTTCTCGTAAAGAAGTAAAAGAAAAAAAAAAAAACTAAACTAAACTAAACTAAAAAGAGATACAGAAAGAAAAAAAAAAAAATAAGTATCAAAGAACACACCTTTCATAACTATTCCAGTAAGGTCATTAATACTTTAAACCTGTGCTAAAGATCTAACTACACTTTAACCTATACTAAAGGAATAAAAATTCTATATACATGATTCTAAAAATTATTATATATCTCTAATTTACTATAATCTTTCAACTTAAATCCTTCTTCATTTTTTCATTACACTATATGTTAGACTGTAGACATGATTGTTGTGTTCCTATTACATCATGTCACAATATGTAACTGTCTAAAAAAGAAAATGGTAAACAATGCTAATCTTTTGTAAAGAAGAAACCAAATTCTCCATTTTTAAGTAAAAAATGAAATAGATAAAAAAGATCAATAAATATGATATATGAAAAATCAAACTAAAAAAAATGTTTTCAGTTGTTTGTTTTGTTTTCAAACTTCTAATAATCTTTAACCAGAGTTTTTTTCTATTGTTTTCAGAATATCCTTCTGATTTGGATACTAAATGTATTAAGGAGTCTATTTACAAAAAGGTTTGACCTTAATACAAACTATCAGAAGAATCATCTGCACCTTAATTTTTTCATGTACTTCTAGTTTGTTAGCAACAATCTGTTTTATATATTAAAATAGAATCAAAGATATTATCTACTTAAAAACATAATTTTTCAAACTGTTTTGATGCTAGTTTGATTTAAGTAATCATTGGAAAGAGTTCTTGTATAACTGTATATAGTATACTAATTTAAATAGATAATTTTCTTTTTATAATAATTTTTTTTTGCATAATAATTATATTTGAAATTTTGCAAGTTTACACACTAAGATTACACAAATATACTTGCATAGTAGTACAAAAAAATACTTAATTGTGATTGATTAATTTAAAAATATATCAAAAAATTTTAATTTTTTATTTTTTTAAAAAAAAAATTAACTGAGATTTTTTTAATCAAAAATTAAATTAATTTTTTTTTATAAATATATTCTATAAATCTTCAAATATCAAATATATTTATTTAATTGCAAGTTAATATGTAAAATTTTATATAATTAACATTTTTAATTCGAATGTATCAAGTTGATGTATTACGCTTAATGAGACGACCAATAATTTTAAAATATTACACGCTACCTTTAAACCCGGTATGTAAATCGTTTTTTTTCTACCTATCATGAACAGTATTTATGCTGCGGCACCTAAATTTTTTTTGTTTCAAATTTCGACCAATAAAATTAAATGCTGTTTTAAATAAATTGTTATCGCATCAAATGAAAATTATCATTATAAATTTCATCCTTGAATACAAATGGTAAAGTATATTCGAACCTACATTTATCGAAATTTGTTATCGAATTGCTAACAATTTTTAATTGAAAAAGGATGCCAAGCAACAAGTTAAACTCGCCAAAGTTACAAAAGTACTTGGCCGCACAGGCTCTCGTGGTGGTGTGACTCAAGTCCGAGTTGAATTTATGGACGATTCAACCCGCTCAATCATCCGTAATGTTAAAGGACCTGTCCGTGAAAACGATATCCTATGCCTTTTAGAGTCTGAGCGGGAGGCAAGACGTCTTCGCTAAACATTATGGGCACAAATACGCAATAGAAAAAATAATCAAAATTTCGAAAAAAAATATATAATTTTTCTTATAAATCAAGTTGTTTTGATTACTTGTAAAATCATAACAGAATACAGAAATTGTTTTTTTATCAATTTTGTTGTTTATTATTTTAACGAAATCTTTTTTTATGAAGCAAATAAAGTACAGAATTCATTCCGTTTAAAAATCAATCAGTATATCACAATCTGTCTTTGAACAAATCCAATGTCCTTGATAATCGTCCACTAATAACAAATTCTTTTTCGACTCTAAAGCATAAAAACCTCACTGTCTATAATATATCCCTTTTTGTTATACCTCCAAATCCTCGCTGATGCTGAAATAGCCGATATCCTAAAAATGCGGCCCCCATTACTGCCCCCATCACAGCCGTGAATGTTAGATATCGCTTAAGCCTGGATGCACAGTGTGATGCATTCGCAAGTCTTGGAGTAGCTATAGCTGGGTTTATAGATAACCCGGTTAATAGATTCCATAAATCTGCAGTTTGTTGTTTTTTTACTGATACACATAAAGGAACGGCGAGTCCCAAGCTGCGACAATAAACGTCTGGTTGAACCTCGTGCCGCTAAACCGCAAAATATCAAATGTTATACAAAGTAATTAGTATGAATAAAGTATTATATATATCACGAACCTGTTGAACCAAATCTAAGTCACTTTTTGTTGCAACAAATACGGTCGCGAAATCATCTAAATCATGCCGCTTCTAAGGAAATAAACAGGCCATTAGCAGATCTTAAAATAGTATGTATAAATCTAGTATCAATAAGATATTCCAGAAGTGAAGTAAACTATAAAGACGCAGTATGTTTACCCTAAGCTCGACAATATGTGAAAAGGAATCTGCGTTGTTCGAATCGTATACAAAGCAAAGCAAATCACACATCTCTAATTTGCGCCTGTTTTGAAATATTTCAGCTTCATATTTCGAACCAACCTCTTGCAGCTGAAAATTATCATATTAAGACTATTAAATGGTTTTAAATTTTTCAGATGTAACAATGAAAAACCATACCACCAAATATTTTTCTTCCCCTTTGATTTCGACAGAATTTACTAAACTAAAAGGTCTTGTGGTCGGTGTATAGCCATCCGTAAAAGGTTTATTTACAAACGCTCTCAACAACGACGTCTATGCAAATTAATAGTTAATTACATAAAATCACTCTAAGGCACAAAGGTAAAATGATATACATATATATGTATATAAGAAAAAGAAATCAAACACAACCTTACCTTACCAGAACCTGCTGCGCCGAAGACATATACCAAAAACACATTCCTCTGAACTTTGTTTCGCCTTTTGTCTATCTTCTTTGGTTTTGTTTTTTTTAAAGCTGTTGTTGTATCGCCCTCAAATCCCAAATACGCTAAGTATGACAATGTCGTCTTGTAATCAAGAAGTGTTGTCATACTAATCGTTATTTTAAGAGGATTTTCATATAAATTTTTTTTTTTTTAAATCTAAATATTTGATCCACGATTGTTGATAAATTGCTTTGTTAAGCACAAATATATTTCAACTTACTCATACCTCCATTGTGCCAGCCATCCTTGTAATGTAACTGCACCTGCCTCATTTGTGATTGTGGTGTGAGGAAATTCAGAATTTGTCCATGGATTACCAGGTGTTGTAGCGAAAAGCGATGCCAATTCGTTATCTTTCAACGCTCCATCTTTATCCTTGTATATAATTACATCGGGGAGAAATGATAACAACGAGATACTGGTAAACCACAAATATCTAGATAATAATCTGTGATCTATTCTATAAACCTACTTTGTCAAAAACTTGAAATATATCTGCAAAAAATTGATATCCCTTGGGGCTTAATTCCACGGAACAATCATGTTGGACCTCGAATCTAGTAAGTTGTAAACACAACTATATCATTAATGATGGACACTATAATTGTTAAATGATTTACATAATCAAGACCATGTACGTACGGAGGGAAGAGGAAGTCTTCTCTCAACGATAAATCATCACCATAGCCAAATTTTCGTAGAACTGTCCACGTAGTTTCTAGTCGTCCTCGTTGTATAAAAAGCGTATGAAGGAATAAAAAGCCAAGTTCGGTCAAGCCCACTTCATTAACACCACTAGGCTCATGCTCCTTTACAACTTCCTTGACGCCTTCAAGTTCTTGTTGTTGAAGTGGCGCACTGAAACATTTTCGCTACATACAGTAACACGAATTAAAAGGAGTTCGATATTTGTAATAGGGACAATAATGCTGCCAAACTAATGCTACCTGAAATTCATTAAGCTCATTATCATCCAGTACACCATCTTTATCGATGTCACAAAGACTGAAAATACGTTTAAGTGCATCAATGCATGCCGGTTTCAAGACCTAAATTTGATTATTCATTGATAGGCATGAATAATATAATTTAACGTAATGCTCCATTAGGATATTGCTTACATGTTCTCTAGAATCGTACAAGGGTGCAGTTGGATGAAGTACGGCTTTCTGTGCAAAATAAAACACTTCGGATACGTTTAATGGCTGCTTTGCAGAACATTCGACGCATGTTTCTACTTCCTACAATACCACAATTGGTAAATAAATACGACTAGTGAAATTTCAAAGCAAGAACCCGAATTTTATAATTACTTTGAACTCATTCATAATCGGTATTATTTCATCTTCTAGAGACTGATTAGCTACATGATCGCCCCGAAGATCGATCTTGTTACCTACTAACACAACAGGAACCTAGCCGGGGATTGATGAATATTAAAATTAAATTCGATCATTTGTATAATGGATTATTCATTGATAAAACATTCGAACTTTTTTCATTTTTTCCCCTCTTTTGCTCACATTCACCCCAAGGCCTCTAATATATGGCAACCAATATGATGCAAGGCGGTTAAAAGTATGTTCATCATCTACTGAATAGACAATGCATATAACGTGGGATTTTTTGATTTCTAATTCAAGCTGTTCACGATGTTCCGGACGTGCTTGTTACAGAAAATCGTGAAAAATAGGTGTAATTTTCTGAATTACAAGCATTAAAGCAAGAAAGTAGAGAATTGAAAGTAGTGTGTATATATTACCAGATGAATCGACAATATGCGTAATCACGTTTTCTGGGGTGACTTCTGGTGGAATTGTGACTTCCGAGATGACGTGTTGGATCTTTCGAATTTTGATATTAGAATTAGATATATTAAAAGAAAAAAAAAAAAAAAAAAGTAAAAAACGTGTTTTAAATGAAATTGAGAAGTATACATACATTTGGAACAAATGTCTCCTTTATAAGAGACATTATTAGAGTACTCTTCCCAACACCATCTTTTAAATGATTTTTATATAACCGATCAACATAAAAATAGAAAAAACGTTGACCTTATAACTTGAACTTACCATCTCCAACAAGTAAAATTCTCACTATTCGCCGCATCCTGATAAAGTTTTACGCGTCGGAATAAAATTTGTTGTTAAAGATTGTGTTTGACAGGTGTCGATTCAACGGTAAGTACAACTGATAAACGGAAATATGTTAAGATATGATATTTTAAACTTGTGCCACTTATTGTCTTGGTCATTTGCATTGATCGTAGACAGTACATTAAGTTACACTATTGTAGATAAGATCAACATATTTACCTCGATGATAATCACTAAGTTGATTGGATTGGATTGCTTTTTTTTTCTTTACTGTTATTGTTAATTAAAAAGCTATACAAATGGTCGAAATTGTTTCGGCCTGTGTTGAAACTATTACGGCTTATGTCGCAACTGTCATAGTTTCGAATAGGCCGAAATAGTTTCGGCTGCATCTTTAAAGGTGTACAATCGATAGAGTATATTACAGCATATTTATGCTAAATAATAAAATTATATATATAATATAAAATCAAAGTTATAATAGCAAAAAAGACTCAAGGTTCAAAATTCATTGTATTAAGTTGTTATTGAATGATCGTCCAATCAAATTTCAAGATCAGGTGTAACATAGCACGATTAGGAAAATTTAAAAACAGAATAAAGTAAATGTAAATCATTTTGTTTTTGTTTTTTTTTAAATATTAACGGTGAGTAAATCATTTTGTTATATGGAATGTTATAGCACATTTATATATATATATAAATCATTTTAAGTAAATTAGATTTTTAAAATTTTTTTTTGTTATTAAGGTGAGGTTTTGTTTATATTTTTATTAGTAATTTTAAGATAGTAATAATAAAACTTGCTAATATGCAGTTGCTAATATATCAACTTGTAGTTAGGATTAATTATTAAACTATGATAATAAGAATTTACAAAGTTACTAATATTTATACTAGTACAAATAAAAATAAAATTATATGCAAAAATAAAAACTTAGATAAAAAAAAAGAATTTATTTATTTTTTGTTTTTGGTATTAAGATAATCTTTTTGATCTTTTGACTTTTATTAATAACTTTTTTGGTAATATGATTTAATGAACTACTACAAAAGAGTGTACAATTGGCTACATGTATAACTTTTTTATATTACCTATTTAAGAAGTTCACTCTAAGGTTTCCTTTCAATTGTTATATCTAACATCTCTACTTGAATGCTTTACTTTAAACTTTCTAAATCTGCAATCTGTGTTAATATTATTGAGTTATAATTAGATGCTCAGATTATTATCTCAATCTTAAAATTATTTTATTCTTGAAAAAAAGAATTTATTTGTAATCTAAAAGTTACTAAAGTTACTATAAATAAGATATAATTTAATAAAATATTATATTTAATTTAATAAATAGTTCATATGTTAATTTTTTTTGATTTAATCAACTAATAAACATATTTAGTATATAGTATATATATAATTAATTTGAAGATTTATTTTTTTTTTTGGTATTAAGGTGACCTCTTTGGTCTTTTGACTTTTATTAATCACTTATCGGTATTG